CTCCCACTATTAACCCCTTCCTACCTCCCTGCACCTGGCACCTCCGTCTCCGCCCATTATTAACCCTCCCTACCTCCCTGCACCTGGCACCTCCGTCTCCGCCCATTATTAACCCTCCCTACCTCCCTGCACCTGGCACCTCCGTCTCCGCCCATTATTAACCCTCCCTACCTCCCTGCACCTGGCACCTCCGTCTCCGCCCATTATTAACCCTCCCTACCTCCCTGCACCTGGCACCTCCGTCTCCGCCCATTATTAACCCTCCCTACCTCCCTGCACCTGGCACCTCCGTCTCCGCCCATTATTAACCCTCCCTACCTCCCTGCACCTGGCACCTCCGTCTCCGCCCATTATTAACCCTCCCTACCTCCCTGCACCTGGCACCTCCGTCTCCGCCCATTATTAACCCTCCCTACCTCCCTGCACCTGGCACCTCCGTCTCCGCCCATTATTAACCCTCCCTACCTCCCTGCACCTGGCACCTCCGTCTCCGCCCATTATTAACCCTCCCTACCTCCCTGCACCTGGCACCTCCGTCTCCGCCCATTATTAACCCTCCCTACCTCCCTGCACCTGGCACCTCCGTCTCCGCCCATTATTAACCCTCCCTACCTCCCTGCACCTGACACCTCCGTCCACACCCATTATTAACCCTTCTTACCTCCCTGCACCTGACACCTTCAACCCGCCCATTATTAACCCTTCCTCACCTCCCTGCTCCTGACACCTCCATCCCCGCCCATTATTTACCCCTCCTTACCTCCCTGCACCTGACACCTCCCTCCCCGGCCATTATTAACCCCTCCTTACCTCCCTGCACCTGACACCTATGTCCCAGCCCATTATTAACCCCTCCTTACCTCCCTGCACCTGACACCTCCGTCCACACCCATTATTAACCCTTCTTACCTCCCTGCACCTGACACCTCCGTCCCCGCCCATTAGTTACCCCTTCTTACCTCCCTGACACCTCCCTCCCCGGCCATTATTAACCCCTCCTTACCTCCCTGCACCTGACACATCTGACCCCGCCCATTATTAACCCCTTCTTACCTCCTCTAAACTTCTGAAATGATCTACTTACAATCACATGTTACTGCACAGCATACGGCCCATATACAGGACAGACGTCTGACAACAAACCTTCCCTGGCTGGCAAACCAGTTCTGACATTCCTCTCATATTTCTACAACACTCCCCATGAGTCTGCCATTCCAGGAACCGCTTCCTATGGGCCTTTCCTGTGCCGGTATGAGCAGTGCGGGTCCGGTGGCACCTCTATTGTACTGCCGTACCAGGAACCGCTTCCTATGGGCCTTTCCTGTGCAGGTATGAGCAGAGCGGGTCCGGTGGCACCTCTATTGTACTGCCGTACCAGGAACCGCTTCCTATGGGCCTTTCCTGTGCCCGGTATGAGCAGTGTGGGTCCGGTGGCACCTCTATTGTACTGCCGTACCAGGAACCGCTTCCTATGGGCCTTTCCTGTGCCGGTATGAGCAGTGCGGGTCCGGTGGCACCTCTATTGTACTGCCGTACCAGGAACCACTTCCTATGGGCCTTTCCTGTGCCGGTATGAGCAGTGCGGGTCCGGTGGCACCTCTATTGTACTGACCTACCAGGAGCCGCTTCCTCTGTGCGACATCACCCGTACTACGCCGTCCTCTGTGCGACGTCACCCGTACTACACCGTCCTCTGTGCGACGTCACC